CAAGAGTGTGACAAACATACAAAAGAAGTAGAGGAAAATGACGATCGTATTGATTAGGAAAGAAAAAGCAGCAGTTCCCTGTTGCAGTTCAGGCACAGTTATGAGCATGACATTGATGAATCAGCCCATTTACAATACTACTGTGCATAAGAACATGTTAATGTCCCCCCTTTGGGAATGGCCTAAAGACACTTCAGTCTATAGTAGCACCGCATCGGGGGGTTAAAGGCCCTTTACATAATTCTCCTCTCTCATTCCAAGCGGGAATGGGTTTCCCGGCAGCGAAAGATTTTGTCATTTTCTTAGTGTTTGAGCAATAAATCGGCTTCCTGCACTCTATGCTTCCCGGGGAAGCCAAGAATGATTCTGGGTGTTCTGGTGACTGTTGAAATAATAATAGTTAACAGTTGCAAAGCGCATAGCAGCATGCTGTGGACGTGGATATTCACTAGATCTAAATGAATTATGCACTTCTTCTTCTTCTTCTTCTTCTTCTTCTTCTTCTTCTTCCTCTTCTTCTTCTTCTTCTTCTTCTTCTTCTTCTTCTTCTTCTTCTTCTTCTTCTCCTCCTCCTTCTTCTTCTTCTCTTCTCCTTCTTCTTCTTCCATCTGGAGAACTCACATAAAGCAAGAAAGTCGCCAGTCGGTCACCGCTGTAGTCCAGCTGCAACTGAGTTTGCTTGTTGCGCATCTGAAAAATCAATCAACCAATCAATCAGTAAATAAATAAATCAGTCGGTCAGTCAGTCAGTCAGTCAGTCAGTCAGTCAGTCAGTCAGTCTGTCAAGTAATCAAGCAATCAAACAAGCAATCAATCATCAATGAGTGAGGGAGTGAGTGAGTGAGTGAGTGAGTGAGTGAGTGAGTGAGTGAGTGAGTGAGTGAGTGAGAAAGTGAGTGAGTGTTCGTCAATTAGTTAATCAATCAATCTGTAAATCCAACTATTAATCAATCACGTTATCCACTAACTACACAGTCAGCCAAACAGTTAATCTTAATTAGTCACCCGGTCAGTTATTAAATCATCATCCTATCAATCAATTCATCAGTCAAATATTCAACTAATAACTCACCCATCATTTAATTTATCAGCCATCCTATCAGTCAATCAGTCATTCCATCCTTTCAGTAACCAATCAACCTTTCATCTATTAATCAGCCAACCGATCTACCGACTAACCAAACAATTTATTTAACAATTAATTAATCAGTCAACTAATCAGTCAATAAATCAATTAATCAATTAGTCAATTAACTTCATATTTTTACATTGTACAGGCAACGATACTTCTAAAAAAAAAAAAAGTCAGCAAATATATCATTATCTTTATTCATGTTTTATTTGTTAATTAACCATTTGGCATTTTAAAATTAATTATGCCTTTATAGAAAACAGTAAAGAATAATTATAATTTACTACTTCATTCAAATAAGTCGTCTAAAGATCAATGGTTCGTTTCCTGATTAGCCGTTAAAAATAATTTGGTGTTGTCACTTTTTCAGGATGTAACCGACACATAATCTGATCAAAAAAATAAATCGCAAAGTGGCTGCATATTTCGAACTAATTTGTGTTATGAAAAACACAAATCAGAAACACGGATTGGTATATTTTATAGTAAGCATGTTGTTACTAGCCTTTTAAAGTTTTGGTTAAAGAAAATAAATTGAAAAGTCTGTATTCAAAATACGAACTTATGTTTCATTTCGAATAACCAAACTGCAAGTTCTCAAAGGCTCAAGGTAAGTCGACCTACTCTTAACGTGTAGAATTTAGGACAGTTTCCATGGAGGAAGGTAAATCGTAACAAGAAAAAGTAACAATGCACAGTTTATCAAATACAAAACTAACCTATTCAGAACCGTTCGAGTGGTGTCAGAGGCCTCGTGGTTAGACTACCGAACACGTAATCGTGAGATTGCAGGCTCGGGGGTTCGAGCCTCAGCTCAGTCCGACATTGTGTCCTTGGGAAAAGCACTTTACACGAATTTCCTACTTGGCTCGGTCCTTTCGGAGATGGACGCTAAACTCAGAGGCCCTGTCTTTTAAATAACCCAACAGTGTTGATAGGGGCGTTGAACCTATATCGTTTCACCATTACAGACCGTGTGTTAACTAGAGCTAACACATCACGTCACAGAAGGTGTCAATTTGATATGATTGGGCAAGAGCAAGAAAAAGTCAACGTGAGAGGTCTATAAGACAGGGGGAAGCCGAGAATGTTTCTGAGTGTTCTATGGTTTGCTGGGGTAATAATGGTTGAAAAGCGAATAGAGCATGCAGTAGAGGGTGGATATACTCTACATTATTGTTATTAGCATTTTATATCATCATTATTATTATTTGTAGTAGTAGTTAGTAGTAGTAGTAGTAGTAGTAGTAGTAGTAGTAGTAGTAGTAGTAGTAGTA